CCCCAACCCCAAGAACTAATCCCCGCTAACGAAGACCAGGACCCAGTTGAAGAAGAGCCCGGGGCTCCGCAGCCCCACTACTGGCTGTAAGTTCATTTGAATTCATTCAAAATTTTCCCGTAAACTTTGACTTCATTCATTGCTCACTTTTCAACATATGATTAGGCTTTAAAATTGGAGGAACGATCAGAATCTCTAATAACATGAAGAATAAGGAGCATTACTAACGTACTGATTAATATCCTCGTCTTGTAGTGCGCTGCTTCCTGAAATTATCGACAACTTAATGATATGAAAACTCTTACAATTAATTAAAACGTGATGTATGATGTTGATGAACATCAAATTCCGAAATGAGAAAAAAACAGATCGAGAACTGCATAAAATGATAGCAAACTAAAGTGAGGAAGGAGGATTTGAGGTTAAATGAATGGATGCAAAAATTTTCGTGGAATATGGAATCTGCGTAAGCATAGCCAGCTGAGTATCATCACTTTGAAGAGATGCATGAATGATCGAATCATCTTCAGCATCAACGCAATGAAATTTTCAGGCGACCCCGCCCCACCACAAGAGGACCCCAACAACCGAGAAGGCAGCCACGTGAACCGGAGCAACGCGACCAGCCGCCGTTCCGGCCCAGCAACATTGAAAACCTGAGGCCGGAACACCGAGTTGAGCTGGCGGTACCAACGGAAGAAGCATACCACGTATGCGAAGAGAACAAAATTTGTAAGTTGATTTTGATTGACAGTATTTGTTAATGTTCAGTTAGCTTTATCAATTTTCAATTTAGAGTAGTCGTTCGTTCAACAAGTCAGAACGAAAATAATAATAATACTTCAAAGTAATTCATATTTCATTAATTACCAAGTCTTTCAAGATTCTTCCTTAATTTATTCATTTACTCATTTGAGAAGTATTCAACCATTTCCGTTGGCCTTAATTAGTTAATTAATCGCTTGGTCGATTTTGCTCATCAGTGAATCTTTCAGGGTGCCGCCTGCCCAACTGTTCCAGGCCTGCCACCCCGTTCAAAACGGTGGCAGCCTGGAAGATCCACGTGCGGAGAGCCGCATGTCACCAGAACGGATGTAAGTTATCAGTTTGCCTATTTTTTGATTTCACTATGTCTTTGAGTTTTATTACTTTCCTATGTTATAGATTTTACTATTCTTTTACTATGTGATATTTTCAATTAATGCTTAAATAATTCGATATTATCGTTATTATGAATTGAGTTGTTGATGGTTTTAAGGATACAGCATTGAATCTTCTCAGCGATTCTTGTTGTACAGTAATAATAATAATGCTATGAAAGTCAACCTGAAATGTATTTCAGCTCTCTGCACGTGGTGCGGCCACGTGGTCGTGATGCCCTCTCCCGACCTCTCGGCCGACCACATCAAGATCATCATGGACGCACATCGGGCCGAGAGGTGCGTGGGTGCTCCCAGGAAGGCGATGGGAGCACGGAACACATCGGCATGATCATGGACGCACATCGGGCCGAGAGGTGCGTGGGTGCTCCCAGGAAGGCGATGGGAGCACGGAGGACCGCCGCCGCGCGCCTTGAGATCCTGGGGCGCGATAACTCGCATATCGCGCTCCCAGAGGAGGGCGCAGATGAGGAGATGGTGCCGAACCCTCGAAAACGGCACCTCACCTCTGAGGCGGCGAGGAGGGCCGACGAATGCCTCCGGTTCCTCAAGCGGTTCAAGGCGGACAACCCCGAGCTACTGGAACAGCTCGGGGCCGAGTACCAGCTCCGATTCGCCTAAGGGAACAGTGCGAGAGGACGGCGACGACACAACAATAACAACAGCAGTCAAATCAACAGTCAGTACAACGCATCAACGGTGAAACGCAAAACCTCCGCAGCAATACAAAATCGGTTACATTTCTATATTTTCCAACATTTCACACCTCAATAGAGCACACCTCATCACATATATTATTGCACTGAATTAAAACATACAAATGAAACTAAAAATGAACAAACGATAAAATAGGAATACAGCCATACAGATTAGATTACCCAAGCGAGCATATTAACGATAAGCATAGCAATAGCTATATAATAAGATTATAGTTCATAGAAAAATACAGTTAAAAAAGCAATACTTTTCAAATAGTGAATTACTTTTGCATTGCTATTGTCTAATAACACATTGTTTCATTGGACAAGTTTCTTCATCTTGTCCAATTGCTCAATTGCTTGAAATTGTCCTTGTCCACTGTTTTATCGCTGTTATTATTAATACTATCGCTATTATTGTTATTATTGTTATCATTATTCTTGTGTATCATCAACAAGGATCCCACCAGTTCATCGCAGTTGGACGAGATTTTCAACGAATCGTTTGCGGCTATCGAAAATTTGGGAGAATCAAGTTTTGAGGTCTAGCCAATGAATTTCTGGAGGCCTACAATCTCCGAAAAGGCCCACTGACTGAACATAGAAACCTAGCCTCAACTATTACTCTTGTGAATAATTGCGAGAGCTCCTCAAAAGAGTCATAAATGCGACAAAAAGTCGTGCCTAGGAGGGCTTGCCTGGGGTAATGAGTTAGGTAGAAGAAAATGCCCCATCAAATTCCTTCCTG